GTGGGGGACACTAAAGGCACTACACCTCATAAAGTGGTTGACTTGAGTAAGCAGCCACAATTCCATACAGTGGAGCGAGATGCAAAGGGGATAAAAATGACCTGACCAGGGTTGATAGTGACCATTTCCTGTGTGCCAGAACCCACAGGCTCAGGGAACCCTATTGACAGTGGTTTGCAACTGCCAGCTGTCTTCAAAATGAAGGATTAAACATATTTTTAATGTTTCTATCTAATAATAAATATTCCAAAATTTAGTAATAAATAAATAAATCAGCAATTTAGGTCAATATTAAAGCCTTCACACTCCTCTACATCTAGACCTATAGCAGCTTACCTTGGGAAAGTAAGTTACAGGTGCTCACCAAACTGGACTGATATGAAACCCTTTAAAGCAGGAATGTGAACAGACATTTTAAATAAAAAAATCATGGTTTAGACAACACTACCTGTACCCTCTAGACCTCAGATTTACTTGCTATAGGAGTCATTAGTCCCCTTCCACTGCCCAGATGACCCTACACATTCCCTGCAGAGCATAAAAATGAGATAAATTGAAAGAACTGGCTGTCCAAAGGGATTTTCCAGAACACATTTTCTCTGGTTCTTGTTTGTTAAATGTACTCCTGTTCTCCAGAGACCCAAACGAGAAAAACAACAGCAGATTAACTTTTATTATTCTGGTTGATATCTGAAGTAATGGCCCAAGACAGCCAGCAGAATTATAAAGCAGTGAGTGGCTCACCTCCAAGCACTGGAATTAATCCTGGGATCCTGACAGCTCCTCATTATGAGGTCCAGTGGCCTCCAAAAAGATGACTCAGGCTGTGAGCCAGGAAGCACTGAGTCATGAAGCACATCATCATCATCATCATCAATGTAAGGAGCTGGGCTGCCAGCACAGCCCCTCGTGTGCCCCTGTGCCAGCATCCACTCTCTCTGCACCACACAGGGCATCTACTGCAATCAGCAAAGCTTCACAAACTCCTGTGGATCCTGAAGGGTCCTGGAGCATCTCCAGGATCCTGAAGATGAGATGGTAACAACCAGCACAGAGCTGTCTTTGCAGCCTGTTCTCCAGAGGGGATGCAAGGCTGCTCCCTGAGGAGAGGCAAACCCAGGGCTGACAGATCCTCCCAGGGCTGCCACGCACTCACTATCCGAATCTTTGTCATTCTGCTGTCATCTTCCAAAGGACCCTCACTCAGGGCTGGCCAAAACCCTCCATGAAACCATCTCATTCATTCAGATGAACACCATCCCTCACTGGCTGCTAGTGCCTCAAACCAAGACCTGGACACCTGCAGGAAGGGCAGATCTGACCATGGAGTGCCAGAGCGATGCTGGGGAATGTGAGCCTTGTGCTCAGCCCATTGAAACCAGAAACTGCAGCTCGTGTTTCCCCAGCTGCAGCTCCAAACTGAGGAGCTTCCAAAAGTTCAGCTGTATTCTCTAGGGGCACAAAGTGTTAGCACTAGAGCCTGTTGTCCTTGCAGTGCTCATGGGCTTTTTTCACAAGGGTTTGCCTCTCCTATCTCAGCAACCACCAACTTACTGCTGCATGGAAAGGGAAACAACATGAAACAAAGTAAGCCTGCAAAACCATTAAAAAAAAAAAGCAATACTCTGAGGCTGATGCAAAAATCCATTGCAAGGGACCACCACAGAAGAGAGACCTTGACTCAGGCTCTAGAGCAAACACACTTCAAATTACCAACCCCATCACAGCAACACCAGTGTTTTCATCTATATCTTGCAAGTAATTTACCACTTTTTTGGGGACTGTAATACACCTGAGATGGAGGTGCACTTTGTACCTACCTCCTCTGTTTCTGCTACCATCACCTGCCTGTGATCCTGATTATTATCCTCCTCACCTACAGCATGAGCAGGAACCATACAATCACTAAACAGCATCAGGCGGTCTGTAAGCATTGTGCCAGCTCAGAGCAGTTCTGACAGTTAAGGAATAACTACAGTGTAAACATGAACTGTACTCTCTGCAAGGCAGGAAGACAGATCTTGAGATGATAAAGCATCTGGGAGAGGAAGAGTGGAGAAAGACAAACAAATCTCTACAAAGAACTTTGAATAGAAGGCTGTTGTTTTCTTTCATACTCTTTCATTAAGGCTATCAATTTCAGGAGCAAAAGTCCACCAGGAGATTAGAGATAAGCAAAGCTCCACTTTTAAAATATATATGGCCTTTATTTGGCCACTCACAGAACACCAGCTTCAGGTAGTATATTTATGTTTTTAGGAGCACAGCTTGAGGATTTCCTACAAAGCATCAGGAAAAGATACCTTTCAGCTGCTCCAGAAATAAATTTCTGGTGAAACAAACTAATAATAGAAAGCAGTACAGAAAATAAACTAGTATTAGACAGGATAGTTATAAGGAGTTGCTCTCTTGCCTTCTGTAGTAATAAACCCAGACAGGTTCTCCACTACAAGCCCATAGATTCAATACCTAGTCCAAGCCAGGACATAAACCTAGTTAGTGTGTTGGACTAGCACCATTGTGTATCATCCACAGACACCAGAATTTGCATTTGAGATATTAAAAAATGATTCTGAATTATCTGGTAACCAAGGAACATCAAGCACACTGGCTAGGTGACTGATTCAACATTTAAGAATTGCACACAGCCACAGCTGTCACATCTAAGCACTTCATTCCCTGTTTAATCTCATGGTAATTCCTGTGGGGCAGGCAGGACTGATTTACACAGATTCAGAAACACAGCCACTCATGCTGCTGCTGGCCACTGTAATCAGGCATTGTGGCTTTTTTTTTTAAACACACACTTCATGCCCAGGTTATACATAAATGAATATAATGATGAATCACAAGCAGCACTCCTGGCACAAATGTTTGCAATAATTAAAAGCCTCCTCCTTCCAGAGGAAGAGCTGTTCTGTCTTTTTACCCCTTTGAGACATCCTCTCTCCTCTCCATGCAGTATGGCATTTTCCCTACCAGGTGTGTCCATCCTCTCCCAAACTGCCCCCAGCCCTCAGCTGGGCCACCCTGCCACACAATCCAGGTCACATGCAGGGGCCTGAGAGCTGGCCCTGAAGAAAGGGGGGATGTCCTGCAGGCTTGGAGCTGTGCAGTCCCCTCATCCAGTAAGCCATTCACATCTTCACTGCATGCAAAAGGCTCTGGTTTTACAGGTATAACCCAGTGGTTGTCCAAGAGCTTACACAGGAGAACCTGAGGACCTTTAAGACACTTGTGACAGTAAAGACAAAGCAGTGTGGAAGTTACAACCCTATAGAAATCAACTGTCCTGATGACAAGGATTTTGAAACTCCCAATTTTCAGGAAGGGATGGATGAGCACAGAGCCACTCAAGGCTCCAGGAGGCAGATGCAGGAGCAGCACTTTAGCACCTTTCTGCAAACACCTGCAGCTAATGGCAAGAAAATGACACTATCCATAGAGAATTCATGGCCAAGGAATTTGCTATTTAAATGAGATTCCTAAACCTGTTTACTTGCAGATACATCAAGGTAACCCCAGGTCATTTAGCAACAAAGCAGGGGGTCTGAGCCTTAGCCTAAGGGAGATCCAAATTAACTTTTCACATTTCTTATCATGCTACAGAAGATGCTCCTTGTAAAAATGGACTTTTCCTTCCCAGTTTAGATAAAAAGGAACACAGAGAGCATGTCTTTATAATTCTAGCACTTCATTGAAACACTGTTCAATCTATTCTCCCATCTCCATTTTGGGGGTGTTGGAATCCAACTTTCATGTTTCAGAAGTGAGTGCCATAATTCTGTGGAAACAAATCCTTCTGCTTCTATCTCCAAGTTTCATGGAGTCTCAAGCAGAACACATTCACCCTTCACATAAAGGTAATTGTGCCTTGCTTCATGAATCCCAAAACAATTGCTCAAGGTGAACAGCTGCATTCATGGAGCATTAACTTGGACAGGATTTAGTATCAACACCACCACATGAACTATGTCACTGTTCAAAAGAAAGCAGTGACAATAAATCTTTTAATGAATTATCTGCATAGTTTACCCAAAATAGAGCTTACTGTAGTTCAGAAGTGAACAGACTGAACTACATCTAATCGAGAAAGAGTCAAGCAGCAGCTAAAGAAGAATTTTAGATGCTTGAAATGGGAATCTGAGCACCAGATGTGGAACAGGGAAGAGTAAAATGGCATGGAAGGGAAGGAGTGGTAGAGTTGTGACATTCATAGCTGGTCCATGTTTATGTTGCAGGTGGCATTTGAAAGCCCATTATCACACCTGCTTTCCAAAAGGCACCACAAAGCGATCTGCTAATGAATTCGAGTCATTACAGTAAGGCAAAAAGCAGGTCGTCCGACCTGTACACACGGCTTGCATCATACCTTTCCCTGTTCCTTCTGATACACAGGGGATTTACAGATTGTGCCGGGAAACGCCGCGACCTGCCTGGCCAGCGGGAAGCGCTGCGTGTCTGCATCGGCGGCTCGGCGGCACCGGCACCGGAGCGGGCAGAGCCGGGCCCGGCTGGGGACACAGCCGCTCGGAGCGGGCAGGGGCAGCGGGCAAGGGCCGGGCACAGCCGTGGGCAGCGGGCAGGGGCCGGGCACAGCCGCACACCCTGGGCAGCGGGCAGGGACAGGAGCCGGGCAGAGCGCAGCACCGCGGCAGGTGCGCCCCGCTCGGAGACAGAACAGAGCTGCTCCTTCCCTGCCGCATCCCGGGGCCACACCGCGGCCCTTCCGCAGGCAACTCCCGCTCGCACCGAGCGCCCCATCCCGGGGGCTCAGCCACGAGGGAGCGCCGAGAGCCCCCAGACGCCCGCCCGGCGGGGCCGGGATGCAGCCGGGCTGCGGCAGCGCACAGCGCTCGCTCCCCGCTCCAGCCCCAACCCTTCTTCCTTCCTCCCCTCCCGCGGGCGGCAGGCAGCGGGGGGACCCTCCCGGGGCATCCCCGCGCGCTCGGTGCCGGGGGCGGCTCTGCTGAGTCACGGCCGGGCCCCCCCGCACTCACCTGCGGGCCGCGGCCGCTCCGCACGCCGCCGGGGGCAGCGCCGGCCGGGCGGCGCAGCGCGGCCGCTCCATTGCACACGCCGCCGTCCCGGGGCCCCTCCGCGGGCTCGCCGCTGCCGCCGCCCTCCTCGGCGGCGGGGAAGAGCCCGCAGGAGCGCTGGAAGCGCGCCACGGGCTGGGAGCTGCGCAGGATGCCCAGCAGGCGGGCCATGCTGCCGCCAGCTCCGCGCTGCGCGGCCCCAGCGCGCCCCGCCGGCCGCGGGGCCGCGGGCAGGTGCGATGGCCCGCCCCGCCCCTCCCGCACAGGTGCGCTGCCCCGCCCCTCCCTGCCCCGCACAGGTGCGCTGCCCCGCCCGGGAGCGCCCCTTGCCGGCCCTGCGCTTCCCAACCCCGCGGTGCCCCCCGCGGCGAGGACAGGACATTCAGCGTGTTCCTTTTCTTTGGGGTTCTCCCTGCCATGATGTTCTTCCTGAAGATAGAATGCTCTAAGTTGCACCAAGATCTTTGGGAAAAACAAGCGTGGATGCCATGCTGCATGGGCTTACCTTATGTAAAATACACCCTGAGCTGTCCCCAGTTTAATTTTGTCCAGTTTTGGAAACAGCTTTTATTTCTTTTCCCAAATATTTGCACACCTACATTGTATACATCAAGTGTACGCATACACATATAGGGATGCATCTCTAAATATTTTCTCCCTTAAATACAGCCGTGGAGTTTCCTACAGAAAAAAAGGAGTTATCCCTTGGAAGATGCCCCTGAAGTTCTGGGGCTGCAAACGTTGCCACAGGTGATCCCTGCTGATTCTTATGTTTGAAACATTTAGCACCTTAGTTCCACCAGTGCAATTTTTTTCTTTTTAGAACAGCCCATTTATATTCCCAGAAATATATTTTATACGAGGATTGCACAATCATTATTTGCTCAACATACACTTGTTTAAAGTTTGTTACTTTTTTTTCCTTCTCAAATACCCTAAATTATGCAAGATTGCATCAAAGCTTTTTTTTCCAGAGCACTTAGAACCAAAGTCATATTCCATTGCTTTTTTAGCAAGTCAGTGTGTCCCTGTGCCACAGGCTGGGCTGCCTGCAGGAGATGCTCACCCAGGCTCCATGAGTACTCTCAAGATGAGAGATGGCAGAGCCATCTCATCACCCAGCCTGGGCTGGGGCCACGTGGCTCCTGTGAGGAATCCCAGGGACAGCTCTTCATCACCCCATCCACAATCTGGGGCAGACTCCAAAGGTCTCATTTAATTGTTTGCGTGATTAATTTTCTTTTATCTTCTCCAAAACAATCTTCTGTCAGCAGAGGTCTGCCCAACCATCCTGTGTCGGGTGCTCTCCTCGCTGCTGGTGTGTGCACACACTCAGCCCTGGCCATGATGACAGGGCTCCCCTGTTAGAACCAGCTCAGAGGAGGGAGGCAGCCTGAGCAGGTTATGTGTTTGTACACTTTTACTTGGGGGAATTATTTATTGTTTGCCTCTGGGTTTGCTTTTTAACAGCTGTAACATTTACTAGATGCGCTCATATGTACCTGGGAAATGTTTGCTTTTTTTTTCCTGTTCCTAGATGTGTGAAAAATGCACGAAAATTTGTAACATGTTTATTTGAAGGGTAAAATTACAGCCCTTTACAGGGCTGTATTACAGTAAAATTGCAGTTGGGAGCCTTGCCACTGATGCCAGTGGGATAGGATCTCATCCAGGGACACAGTGGGAAGCAGGAAAGCAGGAATGAAAGTGCATGGCTGGAGCCAGCACTCGGTGGGTATTTTAAAACATTTCTTTGTCAACCACAAGTCAATATTTATCTGATCTGCCTACATAGTTATGTCATTATCATACTTCCCAGGTATTTAAATAGAACTCAGCATTCACAGCCAGCTTCTCCCTAATTCCTCTGCAGGTGCACACGTAGGTTAGTGGGAATGTGTCTCAGTGAGGATGTCAGCATCCAGCTGATGAGAATTCTGGTTTTATTAATCAAACTCACTCTAAACTTAGTAGAGAGAAAAAATAAGGGGGAAATTTCTACTTATTGTTAATTTTAATATGCCAGTGGAATCAATGGCACTGCAAAAGTCTACATGAGTATGATTCTCACAGTGTTTAAAAGAAGTCATTTATAAACTGTCCAGTAGCAAAAAAAAAAAGCTTTTAGAGCTTTATCTAGTGAAATTGCCTCATCCACAGCCAAAATATCTCACTAATAGCTGGTTAGTATTTAGCTACATTTTCACAAGGGAAGAAAATCACCCCTGGGCTGAGGAAAAGCATGAAAGATGAGAATACAAAAGATAACTTTTGAGAAAGCTGAGAATAGTGCCTTGTGCTGAAGGCATTTCCTCAACAACAACGGGTGTCATTGTCATGATGGTGGATAATTTTGCCTTCAGCATCAACAAAGTTAAGAGTGAAGTACAAATTCCAGGGCTGGGGGTGGATGATGATGGTAGGAGAGCACAGCTCAGTTTTCAGATGTCAGCCTGAGTTTGCAATCCTGACAGCCAGACAAGCCTTGTTTTCCCCCAGGCTGAGAGAATGGGTCTGGAGGAGCAAAATACGAGCACAGGTTTTGCTGTCACTCTGCAGACAGCAGCCACATTTCACTGTGGAAGCTCACACTCAGAGTTATTTCCACTGAGATCCCTCTGAGGAGGCTGTGCCTTATGATTTACAAACACTGTCAGAACTGTGGTTTTCCAAGCAAAAATCCACCGAAGTGACGGGAGCATGAACAAATTGAAGCCCCTGCTGGAGCTGCTGCAGTAGGTGGAGAGCCACTGCCTGGTGAGATGTGTCTGGTGCCAGGGAGAGGCCTTGGCAGTGTCCCTGGTACCTGGAGGGATGCTGAGGATCTGGCAGGGCGGAGCTGCACACATCAGCACACGGTGGCCTGGGACCACTGACCGTGGCAGTGAGATGTGGCTGTGCCAGAGGGAGGGGTGGCACTCAGAAATCCTGCACACAGACATCCTTTGGCCATAAGTCAAGACAAAAATCCCACCAACTCACCAAGTGCCACAGCATTGTATTTAAACAGGCTTGAACAAATTTTCTCCTCAGCTTCATCCCACGTGTTTTCATTTCCTCTGACATTTTCTCAGCATACTCAGAGCCTGACTCTTAATTTCATCTTCCTTCACCATTTTCTGGCAATTTGCATTTTTTTACTCTTTCTGCTGAGAAAGAAACCATTAAAATGTGTATGCTTTAATACTACAAGTTACAAGTACTTTTGCTTTTTCATTATATTTAGTTGACAAGCTACTGAACACATTATTTTGGATCTGAGACTTTCAGTACTGAATGTCAGACCCAACCACCCACTAACCTTGCAGGCAAGAAAATGGAGCTTACTCAGATTAGCTGGAAGAACTGAAGATTTTGAAATATGGTGAAGAGATGGAAAAAATCTGTAGAAAGTGCCCTTGGAAACCAACACATGAGAGACTGTGGTTTCCACAGCACTTGAGTTTTTGCTTTGGATTTAATACCTAACAAAGGTCAAATAAAATCCAGTTTGAATAAATGTTTTTAGAGAAAAAAATTGCAGGAAAGGTCAATAAAGAAAGAATCTCAACAGGAGTCTGCACAGCTGTAATGGGTCTCAAGTCTGCACATTTTGTAGGCCTTTTCTGACTAAGAGAAAATGTTTTCTATGCCAATATCTTCATTAGTTTAGCTGAGTGATACAGAAAGATTGGACCCTGTGATCCCTCTGCAGCCTTCAAGGCACTGAACACAGCAATTGTCACAGATGGTCAGAAAATGTAAAGCCTCAGCACAAAATGTGTGTTAAATTCATCAGTCCTTTGGGCTCCAAACTGCTCACCAAGTCCTACAACTTTAGACACGGGGGAAAATGGAACTGTAGACCCATTTGTTAATAATTATCACATAATTTTATTAAAATATGCTTATTTTATATATATGTGATTGCATTTTCAGTTTTAGAGAATGCAAGTACAAAAGCAAAGCAAAGTTTAAAACTTGGGAAGATGAAAGAAGCTCCAAAAACTGCAAGAAAGGGAATGTGCTGAAGCTGTGGGTGCTGTATTGGGCAGAAATAATTAACTTTTCTGTTTGCAGTGTAAGTAACCAGATAATTCCATGTAATTGCTTATGATTTGCATTGCTTGAAATGGTATTGCTAATTTCCAGTGAAGATTAGCGTGTTATTTAAATAATTATTCTGCACCATATCACTTGGACACTTCAATTGCATGTATGTCTACTGTGAAATTCCTGGAGGTGTTCACAATGTTTCTGGTTATTTGTAGGCTACCTTTGCTATTGCAGTGTTCTAGGAGACAACAGCAGAAGAGGAATGAATAACGTTGTATTGAAATGTTGAACTTAACCCCTAAGAATTTTTTAAAACTTAACTATCATAAGAATTGACTTGTTTTGATTTAAAATATCATATACAAGCTCTCTGGAAAAAAAAAAATCTGATTTTATCAACAACAGTCTAGGCTTAAAATGGTAAAAACTTCTCTTTCTCTGGGCTGAGTGTTGCCCCAATGTGCTTGAAGCTGTGGAAAGGGTTTTAATATTTTTTTTTGCAGCAGTTCCCATGCTGCTGTTTGGTGATCTCTGCTTACAGCACTCAGTGCCTGCACTGAAGGGGATTCAGTGACAAGGGAATTGAAACACAAGGGAATTCAGCAGGTTCTGTAAATCACTGCTGGAAAAGGGCCTGGGAGGGTCTTTGCTAAGGGTGAGCAGCTCCAGACCCCTACAACCAGCTCCCCTGGAAATGGCCAGGCTGGCAGTGCAGCTCTGCTGAAGAGACAAGAGCTCTGCTGGAGGGGCACAGCTGGGCAAACATCCTTTCCCTTTGCTGGCTTTGTTCTGAGACATCTCCTGGCATGGGCTCTTCTACTCATTCAGCAAGAGTAGGAATGGAGACAAGATTACAGTTCTCGAGTAATTATTATCAAATACAGAGTAATACCCTGCTTTTTACAGCTGCCTTTTCCTTCAAGAAATCCATTATTCTGGAGAAGCCAGTTTTGGTCTGAGCCCACAAGCACAGCAGAAGCCTGAGCACAGTGTGCAGCCTTGGAGCAGTCAGCTGATAATGGGCAGCTCACAGCCAGCACACGGGAATCTGAACAAAAAGCAGGGACAGGAGCTGCTGAGTTCAATCCTGCTCCTCTTCTGGGGCACAGCTGACACTCCCCAGGGCTGGGGGCAGTGCTTTACCCTGCCATGCCAGAGAGCACTCCCAAATGCCCTCTGTACCCAGCATGTTCTCATGGTTCCTCCTCCTGCCCAGAGCAGAGGATGGATCTGAGAGCCAGGCACCTCTCTGCCCTCCCCTTAAACCTCTCTTTGTGACATCTTACATGCATCAAACTTCCTGCCATCAGCCCTAAAGCTGCAGCTTTATGTCTTCCAAGTGTTTATCCCTGCATTACGGCAGCATGAGTCACTGCTGTCAAACACTTGTTTGGAATGCAAGAGACGTAGGGCTCTTTTCTTTTGTCTCAAATCTATTTGCAGTATGGAGCTGGGCTCTGCCAGGGCAGGTCAGCCTGGCCAGCAGGGTTTTTTGGTCCCTGCAGAGCCTCAGCCAACAAAAAGCATCCTGTGAAGGGCAGCAGAGGCTTTTGCTGGGAGCTGCTGACCTCCTAAATTATGTTTTTTCAGGCAATTTCTGAGTTTCAGCAAAAAGTCTGTTTAGAAGCAAACAGTCCAGAGAAAAAAGGCTGGGAATAGAGAATGAGCAAATAAATGGTTTGAGATTTGTGCAACCAGTTCATAGGTTTATCTTTAGTTCATACATTTATTTTGTTTGCGTGCATGGACTTTGCAGAACTAATGCCTTTTAAAATGCTAAAAAAATATATGCTCAGTCAATTCATTCAATTATGAACAGCTTTGAATTTTTCTACTTTTCATTCTATGCCACCCACATTACAGATGTCATCCTAAAAAACATAAATAGCTCTTGGGTTTTTCTGCTTTATTTCTACTATTTACATGACAAGCTTTAATGTCATTGATCCTATTTTAAAGACAGCAAAAAATCCCACATCCATCTGTCAATGCTGTGACATTGATTGACTGGCAGTAAACCAAGAAGGATGCATATATACATTTTTTAAGGGATAGTAGATAGAAACAACCATTAGGAGGGCTGACAGCATTTACCTGGATTCATTAAAAATCATACAAGTTATCCACTTCAAATAGTGGAAGCTGTGAAATTAACTGTACAGGGCAGTGGGAAAAACCTTTAATAATCTGTGAATTAGCCCTGATTCTAGAAACTACTACTGAGCTGCTGACGAAGCAGGAGCCCTGCTGTCCTTCCATGTGGATAAATGAAACTGAAAAAATGAAGTTTTTTAGGTGTGACCAGTGTGTTTCCAGAGCCTGAGCCTGTCCTGCCCTTCCTTTCTGAAGCAGTTTGCAAACCCTTAAAAATGTGACCATCTTTGGACCAGTGGAAGGAAAAAAGGAAAAGGGCCCAGATGGAAGACAGAAATACAGGGCTAAGCTCCATTTAGAGACCTCCTTGTGGAGACATCACTGAACTGGGGGCAGGCAGATAGAGCAGGGGTCTTGTCTGGGCAGCTCCCTCCTCCCTCTGCAGAATAGGATCATAAATATGATCCTTCACCTCTAATAACTTATAGTAGGAGAGATTTTCTACTATACCTCGTTCCAGACCAAACATTTTGCTGTTGAAATGTGTTTAAATATCACCAAATGGCTGGCTGGGGGGCAGAAGGGAGTTTGAACTTTTGTTTTTTGCAGGAGAGAAATATGACCATAATTGGTCATGTTTAATGCAAACTCTGTCAACTGCATGGAGGGTTATTTTAATTTTTTTAAAGTATATTAGTAAAATATTTCCTCTGCATCAAGTTTTTGAATGTCAGATGTGCTCTGAGAGGTGTTCAAGCACACCTGAGAGGAGCTGCTGCACCCTCTGCCCTGGGGATGTCAGGGCAGCATTTACTGTGGCTCCTGCACACACACAGGGCAACCCAACAAGACTTGAGAAATCCAAGTGATTGTTTTAGATAAGACACCCATGCCCACCCCATTATCTCTCTATTTATTTGTGCTCTTTTGGGGAATATGCAGTTTTGAAAAGCAATGGCAGCACACAGAACTTTTAACTGTGATTGTTGACCATCCATCACGGATCATCTATCTGGCTGGAAGCTTTCCTGGCAATGGCTGAAGAGAAAATCAGGTTTTAGCTCCTTTCCTTAGTGGTTTTGATGTCTCTTTCAGTGCAAGAGTTGAGAGAAGCTGCATTCCTTGGGAGCTTTCTTGCATTAGCATCTACAAATCCAAACCACAACTCTTAAATCAATGTTCAATCTTCCTGCAGAATTAATACAGAAATTTGGGATAAACTTCTAAAATCTTGTTTGAAGCCTTAGACAATCAAAAAGACAAGACAACATAAATAAATAAACCAAAAAT